ATTTTGTGAGGGGTAATCGAACCTGCCCCAAGGCTTTTCGATCCAATATTTCCCAGTCCTCGTCGGATTCCTCTTTCTTCTGTCCTTTTACTTTACCCATCAGCGGACGGTAAAGATCCTTCTGGTATAGATAGTCCTCCATCTGTGACTTTCAGGAGGCAAAGTCTGATCTGTCAAACTTCTTAATTTTTTATTTGCCTTCTTCTACCATTTCTTACACACACAGATCTGAACAAGGGATCTGATACCAGTTGTTAGGAAATATCAGATACGTTCTGATATCCGTTGTTGGGGATTCAAGCTACCAAACGTTGGTACAACTGCTCTTTAGCTATTCGATCACCTGTCAAATATGAACCCTCTGCGGAATTTATCCTACCGGATCTTATGTTAAGCAATAGAAAAAAGAAATCACAACAAGTCAAAAAATAGCAAGAACAGAGAACACCGAGTTTTAACGAGGTTCAGCAATTTGCCTACATCCTCGGGAGCCACATAAATAATTTTTTTATATTAAAGAAGATTACAAAGCTTGTAAAAGAGAAGATCTCAAACTTGAGATCTCTCAAAAGATAACCAAACAGAAAACTATCTGTTGTTCAAAAAAAAGGCGTGAGATTTTCTAACTTGGAAAGTCTTCTCTCTCCTCAATAAATCGCTACAGGAACTCTGATTTAAATGAACGAGTTTTCCCTCTGAAAATCTTGAGCTCAATTTATGGTCGCCGCCAGAGATAATCGCTGAGAAGAAGAAAACAGAACAGCGGCACTGTTCTCGTGCTCATGGGTTTCCTTAAATAGGAAAACCCTAGCCAGACAGCTGGGTCCAGCTGTTTCCCAACAGCGCAGGAGAAGAAAAGGGGGAAGGCGAACTTCGAGCTCGCATGCTCTGCCCCACGCGCTCGCCTGCACGTAGATCAAAACCCGCCCGCACTCAACTCGCCAGTTCTGGACCTCGTCCGCACAAGTTCGCGTTTCTCCGGTCGAGCTCGCCTGTTCGAGATCCGCCCATGCCTGATGCCTTCGCCTGCGGTTCATCTCGCTCGAGCTCGCCGACTGGACTTCGCCTGAAGTCCATCGACCTCGAGTTCGCCTGTAGCCCTCCGCGAGCTCGCTTGAACTCATCTTCGCTGTTCGACCTCGCCGGAGGTCGCCGTCGACGGGGATAAGGTATGGGTCTACACCCCTTTTTCCAACAAGTAACAATTGGCCTATATTAAGGCCAAATTGTAGGATATTGTGGCTTCAGTTTTCTCTGGCTGCTAAGAGTTGTATAATTCTAGACTCGGAGCAGAGACTTTACATTTTTCCGTTTACGAAAGTGCTTGGCAGAAGATCAACTTTGTCATGAGAAAACAAACGACATCGATGTAAAATAAAGCTTCGTCCATATCGGAAAAGGACTGTGGTGAAGAGAGATAAAACTGACAAACCAATGGATATGTTAACGTAGGAAGTAACTGCTTCCTAGTATATGCTTGCTTGAAATTGCTAAGCATTGGAAGCGGGAGCTTAATTAGCCTCAGGTGGAGGCTGAGGACAGCACCAAGCCCTCACAAATTATATGTGTAGTGTCTGAAGGATTCAATCCAAGCTGGAGATTTATTGGGATTTCTACTCGAATTTCCTTAGTAGGAGATATCTGATAGAGAGACATCTCGAGAAGTCTCTAGAAAAATCCTAGAGTTGTTTCTCTCCGGCAGTTTAGATAGATGTCCGAGATGTCAATCCTATTTGAATTCGTTTGTCTGAAGGCTGTTTCAGGAAAACCTTTGGGTTATCCATTCTATCCAAATGAGGATTGATCCATCATTGTTGACTTCTATGAATGTAATTGAAATAAGGGTTTAGGTGGAACTCTGATAGAACAGTTGTATCTTGAGACATTGGACGCGATCCTTGTTGATTATTGACATGGAAACCCTGACAGCTATGGTTATATATACTCTAAGGATGTAGATAATTTCTCTGATTGCTGAACCTCATTTAATTTGGTTGTTTTGCGTTAATACTTCTTTTGATGATCTGCGGTATAATTCCATTTTTTTGCAAACACTTAATCTTGTATCAAGACCAAACTATAGTATACTATGATATAGTCTGAGTGCTATATGCTTAACCAAATATCAACTCTTTTACTGTAAAATAAAAGGACATCGACATGAGGTATCACTTTATCCGTGCTGAAAAAGGATTACAGTGAAGAAAGGTAAAATCAACAATCTAGTTGATACGCCGACCAAGTAACTTATTAGCTGCAAGTTCATGCTTGCTTGAAAATTGCTGAGCACTGGGAGCATGGCATAGCCTCAGGTGAAGGCTGTGACAGAAAACAAGCTCTTACGAGTCATTCAGTACCCAATAGGATTCAAATTCCAAGTTGGAATTTTGTCCTGAATTTCCTCCAGATTTCTATATCAGCTTAACGCTTTCGCAGACAACACAACAGCAAGAACACGATACCATGCCCGAGTTGCATGAACCCGAACATGCTATCTTAACCAGATCTCATGTGCGTGGTACCTAATCGTACACAAAGAATAAGAGGACCGCCCTTGTACCCGGCCAGTTCTATGAGGACGGTACAAGCTTATATAGTACGCCAGATTCCAAAGGCAAATATTGCAATTTTCTTGAGAGAGTAGAGTACGTGCAGTCGCAGCTAGCAATGCCGAAGGGGTCAGGATCGCCCAGTTTGCAACCGAGACCTGCACCAGGTTTGGCTGCTGCTGGGGATTAGAGCATCTCCAAGGGGCCGGAAAAATCCGGCCCCTTAGCTAAATTAAGAGAGTTTTAAGGGATATGGACTCCAATGGACTGGAAAACTTCTCCCTTCACCCCAAGTCCCTAAACTTTCTCCCAAAATTAAGGGGAAGGTTAAAGTCCCTTAACCTTCCCCTTATAATTTTATAATAATATATTTTCTTTTAGTGTTAATTTATGTGTTATTAAATTTAGTTAATGTATAGTTAATTTAAAATAATATAATTAAATTAATGTATAGTTAATTTAATTTGATTAATATTTTTTAAAATGTACCTCTTATAATTTTTTATTATAATTTTTTATTAATATTTTTATTAATTATAGGTTGTTTTTCTAGTATAAAGTGTTTTTCTAGTATAGGTTTTTTTTTCTAATATAGGCTGTTTTTCTAGTATAGGATTTTTTTAATTATAGGTTGTCTTTGTGGTATAGGGTGTGTTTCTAGTATAGGCTTTTTTTCTAGTGTAGGTTGTTTTTCTAGTATAGGCTTTTTTAATTATTGGTTTTGTCTTTGCAGTATAGGGTGTTTACTTGTATAGGCTTTTTTCCTAGTCTAGGCTATTTTTCTAGTATAGGCTTTTTTGTTTTTTAGCTAGAATAGCTAATTTTTTTTAAACTATCTAATTAATTTTTACCCTATAAATAAGGCACTACCCTGATGTTCACTTTCACACTTCACTCTTTCATTGTTTCTACCTCTATTTCATCATATATACTACAATTTAAGGTAGGTTATATTTTTTGTTTAATTATAACTGCACTTCATGTTTCTTATATTTTTAACAAGTTGAGAATTTTAATTAAATCATACTCATGTGAGAGTTATACTGATGTAGATGGCAGAAAATAATAATCCATATTATATCAATTTGATGACTAGTCATTATCCATGGGAAGATCAATATGAAGAGCAATCGTTTCAGCCGGACGTACCCGAAGAAAATACGATAAAAGATGTACCATTGCAAAAGAAGTCGATACGAAAATCAAAATATCTGATCGAAGAAGACACCTTGCTTGTATCTGCATGGATCAACACTAGCATTGATCCAGTGCAATGGACATTGCAAAAATATTCCACATTTTGGCACCGAGTAGCAACTTACTATCATGAAAACAAAACATTCAGTAGCGATCATGATCAAAAAGGGTTAGAGCACCGTTGGTCCGCTATTCAAATTACAGTTAGTAAATTTTGTGGGTGTTTTAATCAAATTGAAGCAAGAAATCAAAGTGGCGTGACAGAGAATGACAAGGTACTAATTGTGGCTTCAAATTATTTAAACTGATTAGATTTATATAATTTATTAATTGTTTTACTTTTTACATGTTAGTAAATTTATTTTATTTTTTAATTAGATTATGGAAGCGATGCAAATGTTTCAAAGCATGCAAGGAGCAAGTTTTCAATTTTTACATTGTTGGAATCAGTTAAGGTTCAATCCAAAGTGGCTTGGCCAATTTTCAATGAAAAAATCTAAGAGGTCAAAAAATTCAAGTCTTGCTACATCTTCTCCTGCAACTCCAGATTCAATAAATTGTAGGGAAGACGAATGTCCTACTGAGGATTCGTCAAGGCCCATAGGAAGAAAGGCTGCAAAAGAAAGGTTGAAACAAGGTAAAGACAAACATGTGGCTTCTGAAATTACACCAGTGATGTTGTTTATTGATGAAATAAAGCAGGATCGGAAAGAAAAAGAAATAAAGAGAGCAGAATTATTTGGTTAAATTTATGTTCAAGAGCAAGAGCGCATAAAGATAGAGCAAGCCAGACTACAAGTCGCTCAAGAAGCTCAAAATATCAAAAAGGAAAAAATGCGATAGAAAGATATGAAACAAGATGAGAGGATTATGGCAATTAACACTGATGGCATGCCTCCATTGCAAGTAGAGTATTACAATAAGTTGAAGATGGAAATTCTTGAAAGGCAATTTGGTGGTGGTAGTTCAAATTAGAAGGAAGATGGTGTATCGTACTTGAAGATGATGTATCATATTTAGGGTGCTCTTATGTATTTCAATTTACTCTTGTTGTATTGTACTTGAAGATGATGTATCGTATTTGAAGATTTTATGAAGTTCTATTTATGCAAATGGAAACTTTTCTCAAAAATCAAATATGATCACATATTAATATAGAAATTCAATAACATCAATATTACATCAACTAACAGGTCCTTTCTTGCAACACTAAATTAAATGACAGTAATATTACATCAGCATACAAATCCCTTACTAAAGCCCACCATTTCGTTCCCATAAATGTTCGACAAGATCCAATTGCAATTGAGAATGAGTTTGTCTGTCTCTAATGCGATGATGATTCTGAATAAATTCACACAAATCTATTGTACGTTCGTGAGACACTAATATAGTTGGGGCTTCCTCAGCAGCATCGTACGTGAAGTCGATATAATCATTATTTCTTTCATCTTCAACAATCATGTTATGCATTATTATGCATGCTTGCATAATATTTTTCAATATTTTCTCATCCCAAGAGCGAGCTGGTCCACGCACAATTGCAAAGCGTGATTGGAGTACCCCGAATGCTCGCTCTACATCCTTTCTTGCCGACTCTTGAAGTGTAGCAAAATGTTTTCTTTTATTTCCTTGTGGTAAAGAAATTGTTTTAACAAATGTTGCCCATGACGGATATATACCATCAGCAAGGTAGTATCCCATCGTGTATTCATGACCATTGAATGTATAATTAACAGTCGGACCATGCCCTTCAGCAAGTTGAGAAATAACGGAAGACCGTTCTAACACATTAATGTCATTAAGAGCTCCCGGTAAACCAAAATAAGCATGCCAAATCCAAAGATCATAGGAAACAACAGCTTCTAAAATTATTGTAGGAGTGTGGTTGTGACCAGTATACATACCATGATACGCAGCCGGACAATTCTTCCATGCATCTCCAATGCATGCAGTCAATGCTTCCTAACATCCCAGGAAATCCCTGTTGTTTGCCAATTGCAAGCAATCTTGAAGTGTCCTCGTCAGTTGGTGACCTTAGATACTCATCACCGAAAATTGCAACAATTGCTTTGGTAAACCTGTCGAGACTCTCTATAGCGGTGCTTTCTCCAATCCGCACGTAATCATCCACAGAATCTGCTGATACTCCATAAGCAAGCATCCTCATAGCAGCAGTTACTTTCTGTAGTGAGGATAAACCAATTTTCTCAGCAGCATCCCGTTTCTGGACAAAGTAGGAATCATGTGTTTCCACTACGGATAAAATACGGAAAAATAGTGGGCGATGTATACGAAACCTCCTTCGAAATAGTTTTGCTGGATACACAAGAGATTCACTAAAATAATCATGAAAAAGCCTCTCGTGACCTTCAGCTCTATTGCGTTGAATTACAGCGTGCCCTAGAATGGAACCACGACGACGAGAACTTTGACCTTCGCTGGAGTGGTGTTCTTCCAAAGATGCGATTGCTAATAAGGTCGCGTAATCATCATCATCGTCATCTGCTTCCTCTTGTAGCAAGGCACGTAACAAATTACTAGCCATAAATAATATTAAAGATTGGGTTAAAAAAATTGAATGAATTTGAATTTAGTGAAAATGAAGGACACTGGTAGTGCGATTTATAGAAGGAGTGACCACATTTAATTAAAAAACGACCGTTGAAATACGACCGTTAGAATATGACTGTTGAAATATGACCGTTAGAATATGACCATTGAAATATGACCGTTGAGATATTATTGTTAAATAAAATTAATATTAAAATAATATGAATTGAAATTTAAAGTAATATTTAACTTTTAACACGATTTATATAAATTAATTATTTCTTAAATTTTAATTTAATTAATTAATTTAATGATTATATAAAGTAATTTCTTAATTTAGATTAATTAATTAATTAATTAATTTTAGTTATTAATATTTAATTATTTATTCATTTATAAATAAACTACATATTTAATTAAATCTTAATTCATAAAATTAAAAAACTAAATATAATTAATTAAGAGGTAGGGAGATTTTAAGGGGAGCCATTGGAGAAGAACCAATCCCTTCCCCTCCCCCTAAATTAAGGGACATCCAAGGGAACCCTTGGAGATGCTCTTATAGGCGTGTGAGCATTTACTCGATGTTGCGAGAACCAGGGGAGCCGCTAAAGAAATGTTCTCCACAGCAGACGAATTCTGGATAGTGTTGTGTACGGCGCGGAAGCCAAATAAACAACCAACTATGATGCTTTGAGAAACCAAACCAACAAACGCCGAGAGAAAGACCAAACAAAACACAAACACCAAAGTTTTACGTCCACGGGGCAAGAAGGGGGTGGGTTTTCACTAATAGAGAAGGAGAGTACAAATTGAGATTACAAATCGCTCAAACGAACCAACTAATCTCACCAACAAATCTCTCAATCTCTCAACCAATAACCCTAACAAATAGCTCAAGAAAGATCTCTCTTTTGTGCTCCAAAATCCCCCAAAACGCTCCTGCAAAACCCTCAAATCGTATTGGTATTTATACCAAAACAGAAACCCAAACAGACTGCAAATAGGAACTCTAACTTTCCAAAAAACCCGTCATAAGTCGACTTAACAGTCTGCATAAGTCGACTTGGCAGAGCGAAAAACAACAACTGGAGAACAGATCGTAAGTCGACTTATCAGACCTGATAAGTCGACTTGGCAGAGAAAAAAACCAACAATCCAGAGCAGAACGTAAGTCGACTTAACAGTCTGTATAAGTCGATTTGGATACGGCCATTGGTTTACCTCAGATGGAGGTATTTGATTTGTATCAGTTTGGGGCCGCTATCAGTTGCAGATCCGTCGGCGATACTGGGGAAGAGTTGCAGACTTTTCTATTTGTTTGAGGGCCTTTGGAGGCCGTTGGATGAACTACGTGAAGGCTTGATTCCTTGGGCAAAGGATACGTAGGCAGTCATTTTGATGCAGCCGATTTGGTGAGCGACATCGACATTTGGGGTGAGTGTTCGCACTCCCGTTTGGGTCTCATTATGTGAGGCATTTGTTTGGTTGGTGTCGGCTCAGTTTTGGGAAAACTTCGCCGAGGTGGAGAATTGTGGAGAAATTTGGAAAATTCAGGTTTTTGCAGATTCTGTGCCATAAGTCGACTTGTGCCTGTGCATGAGTCGACTTATGACACAGAATCTGCAAAAACCTAAATTTTCCAAATTTCTCCACAATTCTCCACCTCGGCGAAGTTTTCCCAAAACTGAGCCGACACCAACCAAACAAATGCCTCACATAATGAGACCCAAACGGGAGTGCGAACACTCACCCCAAATGTCGATGTCGCTCACCAAATCGGCTGCATCAAAACTGACTGCCTACGTATCCTCTTGCCCAACCAAACTATATCTACCAGCTGCAACTGAATCCAAAACCAATCCATCATCTGCATCCAAAACCAAATGATCTCCAACCTGTGTCACCTTAGCTGGAATCCCAAATGACGCAGTATGATCTGGAGTATGTGGAGTAATCTCCACCCAACGTGGAGTAGCATCACTCTCCACCTGCTGCGATATCCAAATGACCTGATCAACACTCTCCACCTGCCGAGAGTCAAAAGTGACATACCTGCTCAGAACAAAATCAGAAGCTCCCAAACGATAATCAACTGAGCCTCCGAACCCCAAACGCGCAATCGGATCAAATCTCACATCCTCAATGTGACCAAATGCTGGGTATCCAAATATCCGACGCAACCCAAAATCTGAAGCAGCTCCACCATATCCAATAACTCCTAATGCAGCAGTCGGCGACCTGTGACTAAGATGACCCATATATGTCGAAGCTCCAGAACCAATGCTCGACAACCAACGCCGATCCTCCTCCAGAAAGGAACGACCCATCGAAACTGTCATCTCATCTCGTCGCCCCAAAGTCTCCACACCAATGAAGTGTCTCCTATTGCCGTGAGCTCGGCACCAACGCAAGAAAGGACCCCTACCAAAGCTGAAACAATGAGTTACCTTTCTGCCAATACACTTCTTCCAATTGTTGTTGACTTCTAGGACTTTACACCAACGGGAACTGGTCGCGACCCAATAATGCCTAGAACAATCACCAACTGTGGAAACCAAGATACGATTACCTCCCAATGATGCCTCCTTGGAAGGCCCCCAAATGCCTGACTGAACACCTCCTAAAAGACCCCTCGCTCGATGGATAGGAGTGCCAAACTCCACCACGGTCTTGCTCATCCCAATGTGCTCACAGGACTTCAATCTGCAGGTCATAGCACTCCTCAACAACCAATGCACGGTATTACCAATCATATACCCCAGCACCAAACAATGCCACAGTCTAGCCGAATCTGATGAAGTCGTCATTTCCCTATCAATCACCGTGCTTCCGTGCAAATAATACAAATTTCTTCTTCTGACGCCCTTCATCACAATCATGGACCCAAATGTAACCTTCAAGCGTGCATCCGCCAAGGTCACCCTATAGCCAGCTGCCTCCAAAGCTCCAAGTGAAATGATGTTCTTCTTCAACTGAGGAACGAACCTCACTCCAACCAACTCCCGAATCACCCCGTCACTCATCCTGATCCGAACAGTACCAATACCACCAATAGAGCATTTGTGATCATTCCCCATGAGCACGAAATCCCCTCTTTCCAACTCCTGAAAGCTGGAGAACCAATCCCTCCTAGGGCAAATGTGGTATGTAGCACCCGAATCCAATATCCACTCTGTAGAGTAGGCAACACAAACTGACGGCAGTGCAGATAACGAGTAGCCCGAAGAATCCGAATCTGAATCGTTGCCACTAGCCTTGACAACATTCGCCTCTGAAGCTTGAATAGCTTTTCCCTTATTCTTCCCGGCTCGATCAACTAACTTTGGGCAATCGGCTTTCCAATGTCCATCTTCTTTGCAAAAGGCACATTGATTCTTACGAACTCCAAGATGTGCCCCTCTAGACTGCGACCTCCCACTACGGTTTGGACCCTTTGCTCTTGCGACCAACGCCCCCGCTACCGGCTCAAACGAAGTCTCCTTATCCTTCTTTCGAAGCTGATAATTCACAAGTGCAGCGGTGACCTCACTATACGAAAGAGATGCCTTCCCATTAATAAGAGTAAGAACGAAGGTCTCATATTCCTCGTCGGGCAAGGAACTCAACAACAACAACGCCTTGTCCTCATCTTCAATCACCACATCTACATTCGTCAAATCCGCAAGAAGCTTCGTGTAGTGGTTCATGTGATCACCAATGGAGGTTCCTTTCTTCAACTGGAAGCGGTAAAGCCTCCTCTTCAAATGCAAGCGATTCTCCACACTCTTGGTCAAATACTTGCTCTCAAGGATCTCCCAAATCTTCTTTGCAGAAGTCTCATTGATCACATCATACTTTAGATCTTGAGTGAGACAAGACCTAATCACACCACACGCCGTTCGATTCATCTTTTTCCAAACCTTTTCATCAATATTATCCGGTTTCCCGACCAACTCCAATGTATCTTCCAAATTTTGCGCGTTGAGCGCATCCATGACTTCGCATCGCCAAAGTCCAAAATTGTTTGTGCCATTGAACTTTTCCACATCAATCTTCATTGAGTGGATATTCAAGCTTTGGACGGTCTTCACGCCGGAAGTACTGCCCACAACTCCTTCTTTCTCGGCCATAATCCTCAAAACACCACCAAACCAATGCGGAAACAAACGAGAAATAGATCCAAACTGAAAAAGACGAGATTTTTACCAAAAAGATCCCACCTTTATCACCAAACGAAGCCCTAGATGAACTTCCAAAGCGATCTACTCCTCCAAATAGCCCAAGCGTAGCCCGAGCTCTGATATCACTTGTTGTGCACGGCGCGGAAGCCAAACAAACAACCAACTATGATGCTTTGAGAAACCAAACCAACAAACGCCGAGAGAAAGACCAAACAAAACACAAACACCAAAGTTTTACGTGGTTCGGCAATTGCCTACGTCCACGGGGCAAGAAGGGGGGTGGGTTTTCACTAATAGAGAAGGAGAGTACAAATTGAGATTACAAATCGCTCAAACGAACCAACTAATCTCACCAACAAATCTCTCAAACTCTCAACCAATAACCCTAACAAATAGCTCAGAAAGATCTCTCTTTTCTGTGCTCCAAAATCCCCAGATTTGCTCCTACTAAACCCTCAAATCGTATTGGTATTTATACCAAAACAGAAACCCAAACAGACTGCAAATAGGAACTCTAACTTTCCAAAAAACCCGTCATAAGTCGACTTAACAGTCTGCATAAGTCGACTTGGCAGAGCGAAAAACAACAACTGGAGAACAGATCGTAAGTCGACTTATCAGACCTGATAAGTCGACTTGGCAGAGCAAAAAACCAACAATCCAGAGCAGAACGTAAGTCGACTTAACAGTCTGTATAAGTCGACTTACCATAAGTCGACTTGTGCCTGTGCATGAGTCGACTTATGACACAGAATCTGCAAAAACCTGAATTTTCCAAATTTCTCCACAGATAGTGCATCTGAAATCAGTACCACAAGTGTCATTGCCGCAG